TATATATATATATATATATATAGCAGCCTTATAACCTATCTCTTCATCAAGACTCTGATGGTGTGGCATGATGTCTTATAGTTATTAATTCAACTCTGCATACCCAACCATGAAACTGCAAGTGATACCTCTTCACCACAATCACGCCCTCACGTCGTCAAACTTTGATTTCGCCAGCTCTAGGACTGCTATCACTCGTCCCCACATGTGGATCATGTCCCATGGTAACACCGCCCATGCTCAACTCGCCTGGTCCTGTCTCACTTCTCTTGACGTAATGGCCAGCCAGCAAGTGCTCATGAGCTTCGCAAGGACCCAGGGCATATGCTGCCTCGCCATGAACCATGTCATCTCCAGCCATTAGCTCTTCGTCGGACATGCGAAGTGGGATGCGGCAGACGTATTTGATAAATAGCATAATCAGCGATGTCCAAACAATATTCCAACCAATGACGAACAATGCACCGACAATTCTGTAGCCCGTGTTAGAACTTGCAGGAAGCGGTTTTTGTTTGTGAACTTACTGGAGCCAAACCTGCCTCCCGTTACCGTCAATGGCTCCTCCTGCGTTGCTGATTCCGAAAGCGGCACAACCTTCTGCAGTTGCGAATAAGCCGACGCAGAAACCACCCACAGCCCCGGCAATGCAGTGGGTGTGAAAAATGCCCATAACATCATCGATCTTTCGAAAGTATGCGACCTTTTTGCCCATTACGTTCATGCTCAACCAGGGGATTGTTCCACTCGCAAATCCAATCTATCTATGATTAATCCCATGGAAGACTAGTCGGATGGAATCTACTTACGCAGATCGCTCCCCATCCAGCAACAACACCGGCTGCTGGAGTAATAGCAACGAGACCTGTAATCATCCCTTGCACCGCACCGAGCACAGATGGCTTCTTATAATATATTATGTCGCATATTGTCCAGCAAAGCAATGACATTGCCGTCGCTACGTTGGTATTAAGAACTGCCACACCAGCATCCGCACTTGCAGCATAAGGGTCCCCCCCGTTAAAGCCGTTCCAGCCAATCCATAAGATGCCTGCGCCTACGAGAACTCCCAAAACATTCGATGGACGAGTTTCTAGGCGGTCGACATCCAAACGTGGCCCAATCCACTGCAACGAATTAGTACTATGTTTCTTGTAGCACGAACAAGAGCCGAGAAGATAAAACAAGCCCCAACACAGCAGGGTGAGAGAGAAATCACAAAGAAAGGGTTGCTTACGTGCGCACCAACAAATCCCGCCGTCCCAGAGGATAAATGAATAACGTAGCCTCCAGAGTAATCAATAACCCCTCGTTGGAAGAGAAACCCACCTCCCCAGAGCGAGTAGGCGCCAATGGTATAGGAAAAAGTAATCCACAGAGGCACAAATAGCATCCAAGCTGTGAAGTTCATGCGACCAAGAAAAGCGCCAGCCATGATAACAACTGTGATTGCCGCAAAAACGAATTGGAAGTATATCATGGTGCTGAGTGGAAAGTTCTGTTGAAGACCTGCTGAAGGGAGTTCCGACTGTTTGAGCTCCTGTGCAATCGTAACAACTGGACCAGGTCGACCAGCGAAGGGTAGCATGTATATTCCGAAACCTATCTTATAGGCCCATAGAACCCAGGTTATCAACGTTGCAGCAAATGCGTAGAATGCCATGAAAGCGCTGTTGATGGCCCATTTCGACCTCATGAATCCAGCGTAGCTATTATATGTTAGATTCAGATGTGGAATATTTTCAATAGGAATCTTACAGGACCACCAGACCAGGTACACTCTGAAGTGCTACCAAGCTCCCCGCTGTGAGTTGCCAGGCATTGTCTCCAGTATCCAGCCAAGGCGTTGTGAAATTCGACATGTTTGGGTAAGCAAATGCGATGAAGCTGCTTCAATGAATTGAAACGCTCTCTGCAGAATCTGGACTTCTACAGTACCAACAAGAAATTCGCCACAGAATTTGTTTTTAATGCCCCAAAAAGCATGAGTAATTAAGGAACACGCTGGATACTTTTCGACTGAGGACTCCAAGTTTAAGGGGTTTCAAAAGCTCTTATCGCTGCTGTCTAAAATTATCCCTAGCACGGTGATCAGGCCATCCTTGAATAATGCATGAACATAACATGGCCGAAATGTGGTCGCACGCTGATAACACATGCAAGGGCGTGAAGTAGTTGTGCAACCATCTCGATTCCCACGTTTACTGCCTTACTCTTTTGGAGTTGGGCGCCGTGTTTGCGGGATTTCTGAATGACACGCCACACTCTGAGATAGCAAGAGGCTTTCACTAACAAAACGCGCACGCCGGGTTGTGCAACACCTCTCTCCATATTTGTATGTGTTCCATCAAACGTGGTTGACTTTGGCGGACCGACGAGTCTTTGGTAGGTAACGGTGTAGCTTCTAGGTCTAGGTCTAGGTCTAGCTTTAGATCTCCATGACAAGGCGTTGATACTAGCAGCTAAGTCGCTTCAAAACCTGGAGAAGTTGCTGGGATTGTCTGAATCGACGACGTCAATCGACATCTTTCCGCGGGGGTCATGCATCCGAGCAAGCCACTTTATACGCCCAATTCGCGGGTTGGGGAGATGTCTCCTATCGCCTTACACAGACTTATCTGCGGCGGCAGGATCCTCATAGAAGTGTGATGTAGTTTGCCTTGAAGTTGGGATCAACGTTGTACTTATCGTTGCAAGTGTGTACCGTCAACCAATGCTATCTTCGAATCTTATCGGCAGCCGGCTCCAATAATCCAGGGGTTGTAACAAGCTTTGCGGGGGAAAGGCACCGTTATTGGCGGTCTTGGCGGACTTGGCGAACTTTTACAGCGCCACTTTTTCCTGGAAGTTCCTTATCGCCTGCCTGCCGACTCTGGTCGAATTTGTTGTTTGATTGAGCTTCTGGCATAGTCTTTCTCGTAATTGGAGGTTGCAATTTGGCGAAGGTTTCTTCGCATAGAATGATCAAAACCTAACGCTTCTGCCATTAGAAGATTCTCATTGATTATTGATGCGATCATTTGAAAGAAACACATACCAAAAGTTATTCCTTATTCACCATCATCTTTCACGTATCCCATCCCTACCCTCCAAGAATGGAAGAGTCTCGGATCCTTCTCTAAAAGCTTCGCGAAGTCTTTAACTTCTTCAATTTCCTTAACATCTCCCTCCTTGACTCCTAGAGTAGCTAGATGAGGTTCCGAGATGCTTTCTCTCTTTAGTAGCCGCATATCTTTATACCGTAATTTCTGAGAATTTATGTTAGCCTTCTCTCTTGGAACCAGCGCAACCAGCCGATTGAGCACATCTTGCAGCTCATCTTGGCCCACATGTTGGAAACAAATCCATGAACTCACTCGTACGACTGTCTCCCACTCACTGGCATGGTTCTCCTGTCCCTCACAAAGCATGATTCCTGGATTTGCGCCTACTTTCAGAAGAACAGAGCAGTCCAGACGTTTTGCGGCTCGTGTAATAATGCCTATCTTCTTACGTGAAGTCATATGGTGTGTCTTGATGAGGATTCGCCGCAGTGCCATCGCCATTGTTGTTGCGCTGGAGAGAACAAACAAGATCGATGGCGGCGAGAACTGGAACCTTGGCGCACGTGCTCAGCCGCATATTCTGATCATGTGAATCTATGAAAAGGGGAACGGACAATGGTGTCGAGACCAAACATGAAAAAAGCCGTCTTACTCCAATGACTTAACATACATTCAAAACAAGGGTGGTGATGGTTGTCTCCAATTCAGCGGGTGCTCAAAGCGGCAGCACCTCCATTTTCTAGAGTTGGAATTCACTATCGTTCCCAAAAACTCTCCACGAGACAAACTTCTCTGGAAAGTTTCTTATCTACTGACAACTTCCTTTACTTTCTGCTCATATGGTTTACACAGTGCTCTTGCCTGTAGTCTCATATCTTGAGCTCAAGATTCACCTGGCAAAAGTGCTTAGCGACTTCACTCCAATATCTCGTCTCCCTATGCTCTCTTCTCAAGCCAACTTCATGTTCTACGCACTTTTTCCAAACGTCTAGAAATGAAATTGAAATAAGACCCTAGTCTTTTAGTTCTCTTTTGTGGGAAACAACTGTCCCATTCACTATTCTACTCCACAACCTTCAACTTCATTCCTGAGAATTCTCTATCTTCACCCTCTTAACTTCGGTAACCGCTTTACAACTTACTGGAACTTAATTGCTACCATTCACCATCCTTGGTAACAAAAATTCGAGTTCGACCTCTTCAATCCAAATTCAACATTTCAAGTCGTTCCTCTTCACAAGGGCAGCCTACGTCTCGTTAGCCTCCTTCGTTGGAAGATTAGCCCAACACGGTATCCCGATCTCTACACTGATAGTCAGAGACTCACAGGATCAAGATGTCGCCTAAAAAGTCCAAATCGCCCAGGGAGCCTGGAGAAGTTGGAGGACCAAATTCCAAGAAATGTGGCGTTCGGTGAGGTATTCGTTGTTCCGAATTTCTAGCACCAACTAATGAAAGCAGTAAATGGATCCATGCCGGTCTTTATAAAGATCCACATGGTTTGCTTTCTAATAAACCTCATCATACATCGCTAACACAACTTAGGAAACACCAAAAACATTTGGTACGCAATTAAAAAGCTTAAGCGTGAACGAACCAAAATCATATACGCAGCGAGTAACCAGGGTACTGCTTTGGGTAACTATGGCGTGGGACTTAACAAGAAAGATCTGATCACCTGGGATGATCATTTCAGCGAGAACTGGGAGGGCTTTCTCACTGCAGATGGCCAGTGGGGAAACGGAGTAGCTACCCGGGGTCGCAAAGTTCAAATGGATGCGTTGAAGCGTATGTATGCGGACCCGAGATTCAGAGACCCTTTTCCAACTGGCAAGTCCGGCTCAATTGGATCTTTCGTCAATGTCATACACCCACCTGAAGGCGTTGGAGTCAGGCCAGAGAACCCGCGAGGTAAATGCTACCGAAGGACCAAGATTCCACTGAGCTGCGCCCACATAAAGCCAGATGCATACAAAGAAATAGACCCGGACGCTTTCAGAGTGATTATGCAGTTCCTCAGCGGCGAGTTGGCAAACCGTGGTGGAAACAATAATCAGAGTGGGTTTGAACGTTTACAAATTGATAGAGCAGAATCTGCTTTCCATGAACATGGATTTAGGATCAACCGAGATGCTGCAGAGAGAGCTAGCCAAGATGTCCGAACCGGAAGGGTCAATACTCTCATCAACTCCAATGCTTGGGGAGACCATCCGCCTTTGAGAGTGGATCGATATAAGGGTAAGCGGGTCACAAGATTAATCAAGAAGATGTGGAAGGCCCTGGCAAGTCCAGACCGTGATGATGATGAATCTGATCGCGAGGACGATAATGAAAGCGACGACGATCAACCAAACGATAGTAACGACGAGGACACGGATGATGACTCTGGCGATGACGATGGTAATCAGAACAGCCGATGGATGGAGAATAGGAAAGGAAAGCAACCTTCGAAAGAGAACAAACCAACTGAAAGTCCAAGGAAAGCCGGCAGAAATAGAAGAGGCTGGCAACGACCCTTCATTGATGTGGAGGGGGAGGACGAGGACGAGGACGAGGTTGTGCGTCGCCCTATCTATAAATTCTCTTGAGAAAACAGCTAACGAATCTAAGGACGACCCGGAGGATAGTGAGTTCGAACGAGAATTGCTAAAGGGACTGCTTGCTGCCAATTTGGAAATGGCAAATGAGTATCTTCGTCCGACCCCGGAGGTTGGTGAGGCAGGACCTTCCAAGTGGCATCGGGCTGTGAGCGTCGTTGATTCCGTAAGTAAACATATGAGAACGCGAGAATTCATATTAATTGATATAGGATGAGGAGACCGGTGATGTTTCTAATGATCGCGACGCCGATGGAGATAATCCCCCACGACCTGCCCCGGTTTTTAATCAGCTCAGGTCTCTACATATGGAGACGATGATGCACGGCTCTGCACTTACACCGCCGTCTGAAGCTCCTACAAGCGACGTCGATAGAGATCCAATCCCTCCTGTCATTCGTCGCAGTTCAAGACTATCGAGTCCGGCCATCACCATCTCTGACGATGCGAGACCACCGCCTACATACCTCGGCAGTCCTAGGGAGACTGGTTCTGGTTCCAAGAGACCTAGTCCCATCGACGTAAGTATCCCACCAGTCTTGAATATGATCATCCTCTGACTCCAGTAGGTGGAGGGTGAAGATGAGCCGGATACACGACGCGAGTTATCCCCAAAAAGAGTAAAATCGGAAGATCCCTTCATGTGGGTCAAACACGAGAACGAAGCCGAGATCATTATCATCTTAGATGATGACGAGGAGGTAAGTCCATCACTTCTACTCTTCAGGCTTAAAAGTAACTCGAGTGCAGGAGACAGATACCACGGCCAAGGCGGCGGCTGCCGCCAAGGACATGGTCACGTTCACCGGCACTGGTACTGATGACGACCCGTTTACCATCGACGACTGAGCATGACAGGCGCTTATGTCTTGTGGGAAAGTCTCAGGAGCTGATGTTCCATTCCCTCCTGAGCAAACAATTGCGTGCTCCGCTGGAACCTAAATTCCGTTTCACGGGCTCGCTACCCCCCTCCTAAAATCTTCTCCAGCCGGAAACGGCCAAGCATTCTCTACACCATGTATTATCATTCTATCCTCCCATGAACCACAATCATCTATCAAGAAAACTAGCACCAACGTACAAGACAATCCCCCAATCCCCTCTCCCCTCACCCCCAAAATAAACATGCAAACCATACCTCATATTTACACCAAAATTTCAGCACCGCACAAATTTACACGTTTTCATTCGTTTCTAATTCAAATTCTATTCTTAGGAGGCTTTTCATAATCGCACTTGCGGGGCCGCCCAGGCAGGGCTTATACATAATCCAGAACGAATCTCAAACAAAAACATTATAAACGTGGGAAATACCATGCTACGATTTGAAGAAAAGTGACGGCCAACTACCTTACACAAGAACAAACATAGAAAGAGAAAAAATGGGCGAGGGTGCGATACTCTGCAAATCAATGGCGCGCATATCGGAACAGGGTTTGTTTATTGATATAACTCGCTAAAGCAATTTTACTCCCCTTTTCACTACCCACCACCCACCATATTCCATTCTCTCAACTCTTATATTCACCGCCCGCTGGTTAATCCAAATAAGGCCCGGCCCAGACTTTTTGTTGCACGTCGCATTGAATGTGACGTTGATATAAGGTTTCGGTAAATGCTCAAAAGATGAGATGAAGATATATCTCCCCAGTTCCGCCGGTGGGTTATTGCCAAAGAGGGAATGGTTCACATGTTCGCGCTAAGGAATGATATAAAAACCTGAATGTTTTGGGCTACCTCGGCCGTATTGTAGCTTGCGCACCACCCTCTCGTTCCTTTCACCTGCTTTCTTGGAGAGCTGCTTCATAGCATCCGTGATGTATTTCGAGGCCACAAGGCAGGGTTTTGCCAGTAATTCGTGGTCAGGATCACTTCTTTTTTGGCGCGAACAACGATATTAGACATGTGTCTCATGATATCAGGGACTCTGCAAAGGAATCTATTAGAGGCTTCTTTGGATCCTCTCATATGTGGAGGTTTATACTGAAATCGCTGTAAAGGGAATGACCCCGTAAATTCCCATCAATGGCGGGCTGACCATACACCTTGATACACTATTGTCGATAGTACATAAGACATTATGGTACAACTGCTGAGTTGTTAGTTTTGAAGCAATTTCGGTTGATACGCAGAGCTTACTCGTAGAAACAACTCACTAGGCTGTGTTGGGCCGTGATGTTGTCTCGATGAGCTTTGGCCGTGTTCGGGCTCTCCATTTCTCCTGCTGCATCCCTTAGTATGACTACTTCCAGGCTTGTCTGGGTGTCATATTGTGTTCCCGAGCAAGCAGCGAAGAGACGCTTTCGTTGCTCGTATAGAGTCGAAGAATGTAATGGCAAGATTTTGGACCTGAAGTGTGATTCTCAGGGCGGATGGAGTGGGTAGACGGGGACTTTTATAACATTGGGCATTGAAGTCGTTGTTAGAGAAGTAGAGAAAAGAACAATCTTATTATACCACATTAGTATATGATATAAAAGAGCAAGAAAGAGGGCCAAGTTGATAACCGTCAACTTATTAACGTTAGGTGGATCACAGCCCTTCCCTTTGCTGTTATCGTCTCGGATCGATCTCCCAGCATGATGGGAAACCCCTGCACTTGGACTATAGTCGGGAAAGCCTTGAGCACATCTATATCTATACTCGAGTATTGAAATCAAGATGAAATATGTACCTACATAGGTACGAGTACTTAGGTGGGTAAGCTCGTACTGTACCAAAGGACGTGGCATGCAACACGTGGGATTCTTCTGATTAGATAAGATCGATTAGGCGAGAGCGAAGTGGCATGCGCATATCGACAATCTGGCTAAGACGACCCCGCCAAGCAGCATCAACAGCTATTCGCAGATCTGCTCTGCATAACAACATCAACCATGGTACAACCCGCTTGTTCTGCTATGAAAAGGATGAAACTGATCTCTCCCAGTCTTCCGAATCCAGACTCTACACCTTCTCTCAAGAGAGTAAAGACCACCTGCGAAAGTTCCGCCTGGGTACCTCCCGCGCAAATGACCCGCAAGCCGTGATCTGTATGTTCGTCTCTCTACCCCTCCTTCCTCAACTCAACTTCTCCTTTCTAATAGATCTGCAGACATGATCGATAAACACACCCTCGAAATTAAGCAAGACCAAGACAAGACCGTATACACAAATCTCGAAGAGATAGCCGACGACCTGCCCGACCACTCTCCCCGTTTTGTCCTCCTCTCCTACCCCCTCACACTGCCATCAGGCCGAATGTCAGTACCATACGTGCTGCTATATTATCTACCTGTTACGTGTAATGCCGAGTTAAGGATGCTATATGCGGGAGCCAAGGAGCTGATGCGGAATACGGCTGAGGTGGGCAAGGTGATTGAGATAGATTCTGCGGACGACATGGAGGAGTTGCCGGCGAAGTTAGGTGCGGCTTAGGCTCAGATATCTAATCTTCTGATCTGCGGTTGTGGGTTTCCCCTGGAATGTGCCTTTTGTATCTCCGTCGGATAAGTTGTGCTTTGCGTTTCTAGTTGACTTCTAGGACATTCGTCGAACTCCCCTGCCTCTCCAATTATCGTTTATTTAGTCTACATCTGCACCACCTCTTTCTTGCTACGACATCTCCTAATGAATTAAACTTCGGCTCTGCTTTTATGTCTATCGCAACTAGAAGAGCGCAAGCGCATCTCCAGTGAGGCTATTGCGCCTTATATGTTCTTCATTTTGTCCTTCCTAAAAGATCATTCTACCAAGGCAGCGACGGTCCGCAAGACATCTCATATAAGCTGCTAAGCTAGAATTTGAATTCACCGGGAAATATTAGACGGCAAGGGCTGTTACACGTGATCACTCCCCCCTAAAACCCTGGCAAGGCAGTGCAGCTATTGGCGGAATCCGGCTATTTTCTCCGCCTGTAGTCTGGAACAATCTACTCGGTGACACTTGTACCTATGCACCATATCCTGCCTCCAGTGTACCAGGCCCTTTGCCCCGCTAATCCTCGTACTTCGTGCAACGAAGCAGTAGGCGGCAAGTACCAAGCCTTATTTTTCCTCGTTCAAATTGCACATAGCACACAGCAAAGCCAATGAGGCCCTCTGACTCGGGTCATGTACTGATTGGGAGATGCATCCGTAAGTTAAAGCCCGTTGACCTCTTGCAGCTGCTGCGTAGTCATACATCGTCCTTCCAGTGCTTGCTGATACTCCAGGAGCCATTACCCCGCCGTGGGGTCCACATGTCAAAGCATCTAGGATCTCCACTCCTATGCGCCCCAATTGACCACAAGCACTGGACGCTTTAGATATGTGAGGTAAATCAGGGTCTATGCATTACCTGGGCTTCCGTTGTATCACCGAAAACCCGGTTGCGCGACGACTTCACCCGATCTTGATGGATGTCCATATTCGGCCCGGTTCTAACCAGGTTTATATCAAAAGGCTCTTCTCCCCCAAGATGCTCTGCTCTGCAGCTATATATTGACCGGCCATTTCAGCGAGCTCTGTGGAGAGATAGACCAAGACTTCTAAACACGCTTTTTACTTTGCAAGTTTCACTCCCATACACTTTTCTTTCAATGGCAGACGAAGCTATGAACGAAGGGAACTTTTCCCATAACAACACCGTAGCACCCACAGTTCACCGTGTGCTTCCACTTTTCTCCCTCGTAGGCCGAACAGCCATTGTCTCTGGCGCTGGAGCAGGTATAGGTCTAGCTGTCGCGGAGGCGTTGGCAGAAGCAGGAGCGAATGTAGCAATATGGTACAACAGCAACAAGAAAGCCATAGAAGAAGCAGAGAAAATTGAGAAGGAATATGGCGTCAAATGTACGTGTATCCCACCCTTGCTTCAAAGTTCGCATCTGATTGGGGCGCATATACTAAATTTGGTGGGCGGCTCAGGTAAGGCCTACCAAGTGGACGTCACTTCGTATGAAGCTATCGCTGCGATTACGGACGAAGTTATTCGGGAATTCAATGGTAGACTCGATGTTTTCGTGGCCAATTCTGGTATTCCCTGGACTCAAGGCGCTGCTCTTGATGGCGAGCTGGACCATTACCATAAAATCATGAAGACGGATATCGACAGTGCATTCTACTGCGCTCGTGTAGCTGGGTAAGCCTACTTTCATACTGACCTTCCATCTTTTTTCCAGGCAAGATAAGAGCTTGGGAGCCTTCTCCGGAGCCATTAGTTGTTTTTGTCCTTGTATGATAGCTCTTGAGGCAGCTCCGAGGCCCTGATTCCCTTACTAATTTTCCGTATCTACAATGCTAATCCTTTGGCTCAAAAGGCTACACTGGAGACGGCAAAAGAAAGAACAAACCACAATTGACGGCAAACCATTCGCGCCAGCCTTCCGAGAAGGTAGCTTTGTAGCAACAGGGAGTATAAGCGGAACAATCGTCAACATCCCTCAATTGCAAGCTGCCTACAATGCCGCCAAAGCAGCTGTTATTCATCTCTGTGAGGCCCCTTCCCTACACTCTCAATTTCCTACATCTAACTCTGATATCTAGGCAAATCTTTGGCCGTCGAGTGGGTAGGTTTCGCCAGAGCGAACACGGTATCACCGGGATACATCTCGACGGAAATCCTGAGCTTTGCTCCCAGCCCTCTGCATAAAATCTGGCAGGATAAGACGCCAATGGGGAGAGAAGGTCAGGCGCATGAGTTGAAAGGTGCCTTTCTGTATCTTGCTTCTGATGCTGCGAGTTATACCACGGGCGCGGATATCGTTATTGATGGAGGATACTCTCTTCCATAGAGGATGGGAAGCGGAATTTACTGAAGATGATAAGACACATAGTTCACGGCCTTGGTTAAGCATGTATACGGATAGCTCTCGCAATTCCGTTACCTTTGATAATATGAAGTATGAAGTGTCTTCGTGCAAGTTACGTCCAAAATCATGCCAGGAAATCCTCGTTTTCACATCCATGTATATACGCCTGGATTTACCCAATCGCGCCATAAATGCAGTTTACTAACGACGGGTAATTATGTAGACTCGGGTGTAGCCCGACGGCTCCGCGGCTAATGTAGGGAGGCTTTGAGGCTGAAATAGGTCTTGTTTAAGGCTGATAGCAGGTGGCAGATCTTTGGGGCAAATGAGATGCATGAGATTCCACTAGTTTACAAAACGACAGACTAGAAATAGATAACATACTTGGGGTTCCCTTTCAGTTTCGTCTCGTATTATCTCTCACTAGTATCCGTAAACTCGTCACGTGGCTCAGCAATATTACCAACCCTTTCTTTTCTTACAATAGCAAATATTGTGAAATCTAAGGTAGTCTATTGGACTAGTAATACAAGTCGGGCGGTTCCTTCCTCTAAAATATTGCTCACACGACCACTTTCCCTCCCGGGAATAATGGCACGTGACAAGACAGATAAGGAACTTGCGCTTCGCCCAAAAGCGAAGGTGAAGAGATGTCAACTGCTCTTCTGCATGGGAATTTACGTTGATAGCTTCGACACCGCTGCTAGAGATGCAGGAACACTGGAGACGATTGTCGGACTCCTGCGTCCGTTGGGACGGAAGAGCCAATTACAATGAAACAATGGAAAGAAGCAAACATCAAGGTAAGGCGTAGCTCCGAAGCTCGGGTCCGTGGCCGAAAGCTTCGAGATAAAAGGTGCAAGTACAAGTAGATTGGAGATCTCCCCTCCCCTCTTTCCTTGTAGCTTGTGCGTATTTCCTCTACTCTACTCAAGATGCGGTTCTTTCGACCCTCGTTCTTCATTGGGGCTTCTGCTTCTGTTTACACTGCTGTCAATGGCCTGAATATCCTGATCTCCGTGAGTCTACCCCACCCATAAGCTTCAAGAAAGCATGCTAACAACACCAGAACGATGATGGGTTCGGAACTGCTAATATTCGGGAGCGCTACAAGGCCATGAAGGCTTTTGGGCACAATGTCTATATTGTGGCCAGTGTCACAAATCAAAGTGGAATGGGTGGAATATCAACGTATACTAAGGACAGGAATCTCACCAGTGATAGCGAATTTGGTATGTCGCAATAAACTATTTTATACATATTTACTCACGGTTGCGAAAAGGCATTGTCAAGAAAGGAGCGAACTCAATTGGAACCGACCCGAATGATAGCCACATATGGTATTTCAATGGAACGCCTTCTTCATGTGTCCAGGTAGCCTTAGACTATGTCCTCCCTCGATACACAAACCTTACAACCTTCGATCTCGTCCTGTCTGGTCCCAACTATGGTTGGAATCTCGGGCCCTTCCTCTATACACTCGCAGGTACTCTGGGGGCTACATACACAGCCGTGGAGCGAGGCATACCTGCAATCGGCATATCAGGAGGCTATAGCGTGCAAACACCATACTACGATGTAAACACGACGACGAAAGCGGGTTTGAAGGACCCTGCCACAATTATGGCACAATTGAGTGCAAACTTGGCGCAGCAACTGATCAACAGTATAGCAGCACAGGGAGGTGGCCCTCTGTTACCACTGGGATATGGAATCAACCTCAACATACCATATATCACCTCTTTCACCAACGACTCCTGCGTCAATCCTCCTTTCATCCAAACTCGAATGACAGGGGGTGCAGATGTAGATTACGCTGCGTTTAACGAGACGACTGGTCTATTTTCCTACCAGAATCTGGTCGAGCCGGGTACAAATCAATGCATCAACGGAGACTGCAGTCTCCTGGTGAAACTGATATCCTGAATGTCGGATGTCAGTCTGCTGTTAGTGTCTTTACAGTCGATTACGATGCACCTATCGGCGGTGCTTGCAAGTCTGGTCCGGATGTCAGGAGTTGGTTGGCGCCTTTGGTGCAGTATGCAAATTCGACGAATTTGGTGGGTGGTTTGAATGGGACTTCTACGGCGAACGCTACAGTGAGCACAGCACCTGTGCCAAGTGCGAGCATCAGCGCAATTGCTTCAAGTGGTGGTTTGAAAATATCGGCTTCTGGTGCTGCGTTGATGATGGGCTTTGCGGCGATAATGCTTATATAAGAATTATTATATTACTCAGGTCCCTCCCGGGCATCGCTCTGGGATTTACAGGCGGCTCTGGATCTTCCGAGAACCTTTGCTGATGAAGGCGGAGGATATGGTCTAGCCAAAAAATAATTAATGCATCCCTCACACATTACATCTCTCAAATTTTCACATTCAGTACTCGCAAAAGCAACGTTTTGTGCGCCTATCAAGTTTGATTAATTACTCTACAGGGAGTGGTATACCTTTGGTGTTCCCTTGCTGATCTTGAAGGATTTCTGGGACACGACTACGTTCCAAGTGTAGTGGCTACCGGTCCATTATTGGCCGTCGTTGCAGTGGCAGAGGCACGTTAAGGCTGGTTCCTCTAGGTAAGTCTTTTCGTTGGCTGATGGCTGGGATATGGGGAG